CCTGCAGGAATCCCGGGCTCCAGCGACTTACAAGGAGCCCGAGGCGGCAGCGACCAGGCACAGCTGCAGGACAAGATGCAGGCTGCTCTGGTTCACCACGCTGGTCCTGTATGCCGCCTTCGTGGGGCTGGTGAGAGCTCAGGCTGCTCCTTCCCAGGCTGAGATAGGAGACTCCCGCAAGGAATGATCACTATCCAGATGCAGACCCACTCACTTCCCTAGCCTACATAGTGGGAGATCTGGTGCATTCATCTTCCCAGGGCTCCATTTCCCCATCTAGAAAATGAGCACAGTTCTAATCTTGGAGGGTTTCTGTCAACTCAAATGGGTTGCATTAATGTGTTTTCAAGCATCTGTAAACTTTCATGGGCACCTGGGTGCCATGGGAGGCAATAACTGGAAGGGGGACCAGGGCCTTCTCCTACTTCCTCTTCAACCACCCCCGCAAACTCTAAATTTCTAAACCTTGTTTGTTGCTTCCTGCGTGGCCTTAGCTAGTTCAATCACCTGATCACCATGCAGATGAAAAAAGCGGGCTCCTAGAGAAAAGCGACTTTCTTCATTATCCAGTTGGTTAGGTGATAGGAGCCTGTGAATGTCTGAAGCCACATGGTCATAAGATTTTGTAGTTTTAGACACTGTGACTAAGTAGTCCTAGGCTGAGGCAGCTCTTGTGGTATTTCTGGGGTTACAGATCACCCACACCTGGCTGGCTTCTCCTGACACTTTGATATAGGAGAGACTGCAAAGGAAAATACCACAGGTGCTTAGAGAGCCCTCACTGTGTTAGTCTCACAAGTCCTTTGAAGGAATTTGCTAAGAACCTGTCTTCTGTCATTGAACTTGGTACTTGCTGCTGGCTTGTCCACGATGTAGTCCATAGCCCTGGGTTCCTGCTGCAAAAATAGGGAGCACATTGGTTTGAAGCAGACCAGTGCAATTCCCACTAATTACTCATGAAATGTAGATAAATTACTTAGAAATGTGTTTCTTTCTTTTTCTTTCTTCCTTCTTTTTTCTCTCTCTCTCTCTTTGAGACAGGGTTTTTCTGGGTAGCTATGGAGTCAGTCCTGGAACTTGCTCTGTAGATCAGGTTGACCTTGAATTCACAGAGTGCCTCACAGTGCCAGCCTCTGACTCTCAACTGCTGGGATTAAAGGCATGCACCACCACCACCACCACCACCACCACCACCACCACCACCACCACCACCCAGTCAGAAAAGTTTTTCTTAAAATCACCAGTAATTCCTCTTCAACCTTTAGATCTTGTTAACATGGTGTACAGGCAGCATTTTATCAAAAAAACCATTTTGTAACTGTGTATGTAATATTTCCTTAAAAGCCTTAGGCTCTATACTCTTTCCTGGTGGCTTTGGAATTTCATTAAAAAAGACTATAGATTTAGAAACATTCAGATAGTTGATGTCCAGCATACTGTATTGTGTAGTTCAGAGAAACCAACCTATTCATGTCAGAAGTATTGCATTTTTAACATAACCAACATGACCAAAAAATTAATGTTTGAGAATTTAAATTTTGATATCTAAATTCCTGTATCAGTTATAATAGAGTATATTTAAATTCAGATATTTTGAGAATAAATTTGATATATCTTATTAACTGTTAATGCAGAGAAATCTGGTAAGGTGCCCTTCAAAATCTAAAAAGGACTGCAACCAAAGCCAGACAAATTTAAAAAATGAGTAGATGAAAACTCACAGGATAGTATGCCTCTTATAGTAAAGGGTTGTATATTTTGTCCTGTTTGAATAAAGGGAATCTCTATATAAACACTGCAATCCCCCCTCCCATTCTTTATCATGGAAAATGCTACCATTTAAATAAGCATCAATTTAATGTTGGTAAGTTTAAAGCTCTTGTCGTTTTAAAATTTTAGGGAATAAGCATTGGTATCCTTGGGCCTACATTTCAAGATTTGGCGAGAAATGTGAACCAAAACATCAGTAGTCTGTCTCTCATTTTTGTGGGCCGTGCCTCGGGATTTCTATGCGGCACTATAATTGGTAGAGTTCTCCTCGACTATATGAATCATTTTTTACTTTTGGGTGAGTACACACTGCTTTTTGCTTCTTTTTTAATGAATTTTTAATTTGACTTAAACTTTAAAAGCACAGGCTGCAGAATGGTTGACAATGGAAATGGGTGTGGGTGTCCTCCCGGGCATCTGGGCTTCCATAGTACAGATTCTATACCGAAGTCTCTAGAAAACCTCTTGATAAGGTCTTTCTTAGGAGTGAGTGTTGGCAACCCCAAGCAGTGCTGACCTTCCCTGTAATGTGAGCTCCACTCCAGGCTCACACACTGGTTGACCACAAAGCTATGTAGTGGCATCTTGCTTTGGAAGTGAACTTGTGGTGGTGACCACACCCTATGGACATGGCTTCGGGTATTTAGATGTGACCCCTTATAAGGTAGAGGAAGGTCTGGCTGGCTCTCTTGTGAATGGCCCTGCAGATAGCATAGGTTTTAAACTGACCATTAACTGGCCTGTGACCCTGTCAACCTCGGCCACATTCATCCAATTGGATGCGTGGTCCATGGCACCAACAATGCGGTTGCTCTTGGAGCATTTCCAGGACACATGCGGCTCATACAGGTGCATGAACTCAACAGTGTAGTTCTTCAGCATGTCAAGGCCTTGCCTGCTCACTAGGCCAATGGGAGCTCAGAAAATGCAGTCTCTGCAATTACAATGTTCTCACCTGCTTTCATCAGTCCAAGAAAGCAAGTCAGACCTTTCTTTACTTTTAAAAGGGTTAAGTCTGAACACCTAAAGCCATGATCATAGGGTGTGACCACCAACACAAATTGACTGTCAAAGCAACATGCCCACTACAAAGCTCTGCTTATCTGAAGGTAGGGCTGGACTTGTGGGGCCATGGGGGTCAGAATGACTCCTGGAACCTGGCCAGGCTTGTGGACTAGGGCTGGAAGATGAAGGGACAGGGCAGTAGGGAAGTGATAAAGTTTACACTTCAGTCCTACTGCCCATGTCAGAGGTGAACACAGGCTGATCCTCTAGGATCCTGACCCTGGAAAAGAGGGCAGAACATGCCTTTTTCAATAAATGGGCACTATTAAAATTTTAGATTACTATGCTAAAACTCCTTTGGAGGCAAGGTGAATAATTTATTGCTGACAAATAAGTAATCATTATCAATTACAAAGTTTGCTAAAAGGCTATTTTTTCTGTCCTTCTTTTTCTTTTATTCCCCCCCCAAATGAACTTATTTGGTAAAGTTTTCCTATAATCTATTATGATTGAGTTTTATTTTTGCATTGTCACCTCACATAAAAATTATCTTTGAAGTAATACTTTTGGGATTGACTCATGCTCTATAAAAGTTATCTTTTGTTGCAATTTCTAATTTGGTCATTAGCAATGATACTGTATTCAAGGCATAGTAATTTGCATTTTTATAGTCCACAAATATTAGAAAAGATTTAGGAAACGTACCATATATAGCAACTGTATCTCTCATCTACTCACGATCCAGCATTTTGTAGTGGTGGTGATGGTGGTTTTGCCTTTTTGGTTTGTTTGTCTTTGAGACAAGATCTCACTTTGTAGCCTTGGCTGGCCTGAAACTATCCATGCAGACCATGCTGGCTCAAATTCATAGAGGTCTCAGTCTCCCAGGTGTTGTGATTAAAGTTAGTGTGTGCCACCATGTCCAGCCCAAGACCATCTGTTTTAATTCAGTGTTACTTTGCATTTTTAGAATTTTTTGTGATGTTCCCTTCACCTAGGACCCGGAGGAATACTTGTTTCTATAGCTGCTTTATTACCTTTCTTCTCAGGTGTGTCAATGTTGGCTACCACAGTTGGGTTTTATCTAATTCCTTTCTGCAAGAAGGCCATCTTGCTGATTGTCATGATGGCTGTCTT